ATTAACCAATTAAGCGTAGGCATTTTTCATTGTAGAGCATGATTGGCTTAAATATTCTCGCGTATAGTGGTACATTTCTTCAAACTTCGGTGGGCGATATATCCCATTGTCACCTGTAACCAATTGACAAAGTACAATTCTATTTTTACAATACATTACTCGTTTATTTTCCTTTATGATATTGTAACATAACGATTCGACGAGGTCAAACGTAAAAACCACACTGAATAAAGAAGACCTCACCACGTGATCAAAGATTGCGTAACATTAATTAACACCAAGGAATCTAACTACTCGAGGTCGTCGGACAAGTGGAAATTTCTTTTACTCACGATCGTTCCATTGGCGTGTACATGTACGCATTCCATATCGTCGTCCATGATTGGCTAAAAGTCTCATAAGTTTAAAAAACCGTGGAAATAAATCCAAGTGGGTTTTCGTCCTCTCTCCATTCGAGAATCTCAGCGGCCCCAGCAACCGCTGACCGCCCCGCCGTCGACGACAGAGAGGCACCGAGCGGTATGCTTAAGCGACTCTCGATCTATACTACTCATGAACACACGGTCCATTATTCTAGACATGCGGCGTCTGTAGCCCAGAGAATCCACTTTTTGAATTTCCGAGTATTCATTATTTTTTCATATTTGAAAGACCATATAACTAAATTTTCGTATTCATAATGTGACATTACGGATTTCCCTCGCAAAGTCGAACAGGTCAAAGTTAATAATTCTTGAAAGTTAGTATATCAAGTTAAGCAGGGGCATTTGAATTTTTAAACTGGCTTTGTATTGGAAGAAAACACTTGTGAAATTTCAACGATGAAGGAGCGCGTGACACTGCATGAGAGACACCTGCTGCATGTACACCACATGCAGAATCCAACAAAAGTGTATTATGAACTCGCTTTATGGGCAAAAGATGAAATTTCAACTGACTCGTGTCCCGACGAAATCGACAATTGGTCTTGCGTTAAAGAAGCACTCGAATGAAAGCAAACGTGCCGACAGCAAAACGAGAAGCGTAGATCGAGCGATGCTGCTGCCCGAGGTCGATGCACTCGTTCTTCAATGGGTACTTCGTTGCGAAGAACTTGGTGTTTGCGTCACTGGAGAACTCATAAGAAAAAAGGCAATCAATGTGCTTGACGACCTACAATTGCCTGAGATACGACGAATATCATTTTCAAAGGGATGGCTCCACAAATTTCAACGACGACATGGACTTACAAGCAAAATTGAGCACGGTGAAGCAGCTTCCGTATCGCCCGAGATCGTTGCGACTGGGAGAATAGACATGCAAAAGCGCACAAGTGGCTATAACGCAAGTGAGATCTACAACATGGA